CATTTGTAACACATTGTAACAAACATTTATTCAGTTTAACATAATAATGTACAATAATTGTATGAATAATAATCTTATTGATACGTGATATATATCAGTGTTCAGTATATGATAGAACTACCATATTGTAACTATTATAAATATCAAAATAAATTATAAATATTATATGAAAGGCTAAATATATTACTTTTTAAATGTATTCATGTCATATCTATTAGAACATGTATAATTTTATATATATGAATGCATATGTGTGTCTTGCAGACAGACACGCGCTCACACACACACAGACACACACACACCATCTCCTGCACACTGCTTGGTAACAGAAGAGATTGAGATGGAGTTGTGGGTGGGGGCTGACTCATGCCAGCAGCAACAATCAGAGCTGTGTCAACATCGAGGTGGAGGGCCGACTGAAACCCGCAGGAAGTGACGACAGCCGGAACCAATGGCGTCTTTAGAAACACCTCTGCACACCCGCTGAGACGGCGGCGGCGCGGGGGTTGGGGCTCATCGGGGGCCCAGCGAGCGCCACACGGATGCGGCGCTGCAGAATCTCTCTAGAGGGAGCTGAGAGGACGGAGGAGCACATTTCTGCAAGACGCACGATCCTCTTCAGGGAAACCTTCCAGAAATGTCCAGCTAAAAAAAGAAGAAAAAGAAAATACATCCTATATAACGAATGTGAAGTGAACTTTCAAAAAGTGTCACCATGCAGAAATGCATATTATAAATGTACACGTATCCACACAACAACCGCAGCTCTACAAACTCAGATGGATCATGTTGCAGTGCACCACCCATCTAATGAAGACATTAAGTGCACGTATCCACTCTGACACTGTTTACTGTCGACACCCGGCCCCTCCTCCTCCTCCTCCTCCTCCTCTTCCTCTTCTTCACCCCCCCTCACCCCTTTAGATCACACTCTGGTTCTGCCCAACCAGCCTGACAGCAATTTCCGGATACAAAGATGAGGAGGATATTTGTGTTTGTGTGTGTCTTTGTGGGGTGCTGTGTGTGAAGAGAACAAACACACACACGCGGTGATAATTACGGCTCCTATTGATTATGTGCTTTGCCTCGGAGGAGTCCCCCCCCCCCCCACGTTGTAATTAGGCATCGGATTCCACAGGAAGTGCCTCTAAATGACTATTTACTGGATTAAATATAGATGAGTACTGGTCACTCTCCGTGTTCCATTATGACCGGATCTCTCTCTCTCTCTCTCTCTCTCTCTCTCTCTCTCTCTCTCTGAATATTTACGACGCGCATCAACATCTAAGCGTCCGAGTGGACGGGATCTCCGTCACGCTCTCCTTCTCGCTCCTTCTCACATCAGGCGGTGAGGTCAGAGTTCAGCGATGCTCATATACAAAGAGAAAGAAGATGCAGATGCTGCCGCAGCAGCAACCACACGCACGCACGTCGAGGGAAGCGCGTTGGCCTTGATTGTCGAAGAGTGGGACAACCAAACCAATCATTTTGTGCCTGGACGTTCTGAATAAAGAGTGATTCATTCACAGTGAGAGCAGCAGGCTGCTGCTGCCCACGGACAGGCTGAGTGAGTGGCGCGGGAGGGGGGGGGGCGCTCAGCAGACAGTAGATCCAAACAGGAACACGAGAGGAGCGGCCTTGAGGCTGTCGTGCGCACACCTACAAGTTAATTCAACGAATGCCTTCGGACAGGGTAAAGAGAAGGATGGAGGATCTGACAAAATATGAGCCAGTCGCCACCAGATATTCACTCCATGTTGATTCTTCTCGGGCACCTTTTTGGTCCCAATGCTCATTGTTCCTCAGTGAAAAGGGCACGCAGGAATGTTAAGAGGGTGAAAATGTTTAATCCCAAACATCCTTAACGAAGCCTGCAGGGCTGCTCTAACGGGACCATTGTTCAGACTGTGTGTGTGTGTGTGTCTGCGTCCTTTTCTGTATTTATTTGAAATGCATCTCTTATTGATAACCAATAAGAGATGCATTTCAAATAAATACACAGGTGTTCACAGCCCTCGTCTCGTGCTTGCAAAGTTCAAACCGTGACTTTTCCACCTCAGTCTGGGTCTCTTGGAGATCTTTAAGAGCTACAATCAGAGCGGAAAGGCCTCCCGTCGCCGTCTTTGACATTGAATCCATATTCGCGGATTTGTGTTTGCGAGGCGTCGGTGATTTCCCCTGAGCGGTGGTCACCGTGGTGACAACGTGTCAAAGGTTTGGACTTTCTCATTGAATCGAATGAGAAAATGGGTCCGAACTCCGCGCTGTACATTTCAATGTACGTTATATTTCATTACAGGTCATTTAGCAGACGCTTTTATCAAAGCGACTCACATTACACTTTTAACCCATGGCTTTTTCACATTTTTTGCCCGGGGAGCAATTAGGGGTTAGGTATCTTGCTCAGGGACACTTCAACATGGAACATGGGGCAGCCTGGAATTGAACCACCAACCTTGTGCTTCCCAGCCCACCTTCTCTAACCCCTGCGCCACATGATGTACTGTTCCTAAAATGATTTGTGATTCATGAGCTGCTTAAATTGATGCAGAAATCAAATACGTAAAAGAAAAAAAAACATGCTGGATTGAGTATCTGTTCGAAAGGTCAGAGCAGTAAATCCTTGTTCGTCATCTCACCTCAGATGAATCCTGTGATGCCTCAGGGAGCTGCCCCCCCCCCCCCCCACACACTCTCATAGACAGGGAGATACACATTCAACCGATGCGCAGGGAGAAAGGAGCGCTTTCAGGGCGACGGCAAAGTCGACACGGGCGAGAAGAGAAAAAACATCAATCACACGAATGCAGAGAAGGGGACAAGGCCCGAGAACAACAAAGTCATTAAACGAACAGCGCATGAGGGAGGCCCATTCATCGGGCCCTTCTGCTCTGGTAACGCTCCAAAAAGAACAAGAATATTGGGGGGGGGGGGGAGACGAAAAAAGTTCCCCAAAGCGATAGCTGCTTGACAAAAGACACGATGTCCCCGGCTTGGAGACGCCTTGGCCCGTCTCCGCGGTCGGACACATGGGAACATCAGGAGCTATTTATAAACCACTCCATCCCGTCACTGTGAGGGAACGGCTCCACGCCCCCCCCCCCCCGCCCCCACTCTTCATCCTCGCTCACTGGTGCCCTGGAGCTCTGAAATAATGACATCACGGGGAAAAGAGTGTGTGTGTGTGTGTGTGTGTGCGCGGGGATGGAAGCTGAAATATCAGGTGTCGAGCAGAAGAACAGGCAGCAGGCATCAAGCTGGACACACACACACACTCGTGCACACACACACACACACACGGGTTAATGATAATGACTGAACTTGCCATTTCGAAAATGGCTGCTTCGTCGATTCCCACTGGTGATTACACAGAGCCCAATGTTGTGTTTCTTCTAAATGTCTCTTAGTTTAGCAGCTCCTGATGACACAGACATGCTGCTAACAGACCTGCCTGGGATCCGTGTAGACCCTTAAATGTCTTCTCGGCAGATAGGAGAGTCACATGTGGCGTGTTTGTACCTCTCTCGCCTGTCTCACCTTTCTGTACCGAAGTGTTCCAGCGCGCATGCAAATCAGTAGCGTGCACGCCTCGCAAACAACTCACACACTCATGCAAAGCAGCCGTGGCACCTCGCATTTTACCCATTGAAGTGGTGCAGACTGAACAAGGTCATGTGACGGTGAGTCAATTTGCGTGCCGATGACGTCACTTCCAAAATGGCGGCCGGGCTGGTCAACGCATTCGGCAAAGCCAATCGTTGCTTAAAGTACGTTTCAACAATTGGAATGCCTCGATGACACGTCCCGCGTTACCCGTCTAACCCTTTATTCCATATTTCACAAGCGAATTTATGCTTCACAACAGCCACCTTGTAATCTATAAAAAAAACACTAATGCAACACATTTGTTGCTACTCAATTGATTCATCTGATTCAAATAATTTGTAATTAAAATATGTTCTGTATTTGAGGAAAAAGAAGGCGCCGTTAACGCCCTCTGAGACATCATGTAACAGCTCATGTGGCCTTTTTTTTTTTTTTACAACCCCTATAATCTTCACTCGAATATGCCATGAAGGTTGATTTAGGGCCCGAGTTGCTCCTTCATCGCTCCACTTACGTCACGGCTTCCACAGCGACGGCCGATTTGGAAACTTTCCTCGCTGAAGCGTCGCGCTGCGCTGGACCTCGATACCCAGACACACAACCCACACAAACAAAAACACAACCACATAACAACGTAATGAATGCAAAGTCAGATGACGCGTGTATGCGCCATGGAGCACACTTTGTGCGGCGCTGTAATACCGTTTTCCCTTTCATGTCTCCCCGGCTGATGGGTGGATGGAGGTATTGTTGCAAACACTGATGACAGTCACGGGTCACGACATATTTTCAATGCAAATTGTGCCGAGGGGGGGCGCGAGTCAAAGGCCCCGCGGCGAGAGGAGACGGCGTGGTAAGCGCCGCCGGTGCCTCTCGTTAGCAGATAGGAAAATTAGATTAAGCTGGTTTGTTTATCTACAGATGCACCGGCGCCTCAAAGGCCGCACGTGTGCAGCACGGACGGGAGGGAGGTGGCGTTGCAGAACCGACGGCGCGGCGCCTGAAGGGCTCCTCGTTGGGCGAAAAACAAATCGACTCGCTTCATGGAAAACATTGCAAACAGTATTGAGTCCAGCTAGCGGAGCACAGGAGCATCAAAGCATGACCCATTACTGATAAAAGCATCTTCAAACTAAGTGGAATGTGCACTTATGATCCATGGCGGGACAGAACAATTCATCTTTGGAGCAAATTTAGAAAGCCCCCCCCCCTCTCAGGTCATTAACACCTCGTTACATAAGAGTTCTTTGTGCATCAGAGGAGCATGTGATTCCTCTGTGACATTTAAGGGAAGGCTGGAAAGGGGAAAAGAATTAAACAGATTCATCCTGCTTTGTGTTGGGTTTATGGCAGAGCAGTAACTTATACTTCTAGAATGATAAAGTAGACCAACGTGCTTTGGAAATGGTTTTTATTAGCAAAATAAGGGAGATGAATCTACAAAGGTTCTCCATCCGCAGAGAACATACACACACACACACAGACAATTGTGGCAGTTTCTTTACATGAACAGATCCAGGACCATGTTTGTCACTCCTCTTGGCAAAGTAGCCCTGATCTAAAAATCACAGACCAGGACCCCTCGACCCGCTCGGTTTCCATCAGCGGATTGAAAAAAGGCTTCGCGGACGGTCGAGCGGCGCCTCCACTCTCTAAAAAAAAACAAAAAAACATTTCCGACCTCGTCCTCGCAACAATCTCGTCGCTAGTTTCGTTTTTTTTTTTTCTCTCTTTAACACCTAAAGCTCTCCTCCAAATACATTAAAATATGCATTAAAATTTGCCCACCGTGACCTTTTGACCCAAAACCCGCGAGTGTTTTACGAGCTCTTAACCCGACCCGACCATCTTCAGAAAGAAGAATGGATATTTTGTGAAGTTTAAAAACCAGAACCCCCGATCTTCAGGGCAAATGTAACAATATGCAGCTCAGTATCGTACGGGGTAATCGAGGGGGGGGGGGGGTAAAGGACTGTGGAGGCTACATGTTGATGCATGAAAACCGCGCATGTACATAGCAGGGACACTAACACGTGAGAACAGTTCACCTCTTTATGTTCGGAACGATTCAGCAGGCAGCGGAAGGAGCGCTGGGACCACGGCCGCAGTAGAAAGCACGCGAAGGCACAAGTACCGACGCACTCAAAAGTTTTTACCCCTCTTCTTGCCTTTTGAATAGAAGGAAGAAAAGAAGCGTTTTCCACCAACGACAACGTTTCCAACGCAGGAGGAACAGCAAAAAAACAGCAATTCCTCCTCCTCCTCGAAAAATCCAATACAAAAATAAACTACATTGAAATTAGAATTTTTTTGAAAAGTGTGGGGGAATTCTTTTGTGGTGACACAAACATCTTACACGAATGGCGCTACGCTAGCTCGAAACACCCCAAGACAAAAACATAAATAAAGCTGTTAAAAGTGGCATATAGTACAGCGCTGACTGATCCTCCAGACTCGTCTTCTTCACCAAAGATGCACAAGGAAACGGGCTCCACCGCCTGGAGAGAGAGAGAGAGAGAGAGAGAGAGAGACATTAGGGCCGAGCAGGATGGAGGAGCGAGCCGCCATCACTAATCACCCGACATCTGAACATGTTGTGATCTACTCCAGCTACACGCTCCTCCGTAATCTGGAATGCTTTAAGCTTCTCGAGGCCAAACATCTGAAGCCCATTTGTTGGACACATTTTTTTAAAAAAGGGACAAAAAGCCAGAATGCGCGGCACACCGTCAAACGCCGCGGTTGCCCCGAGCAACGGGGGGCCGACGCGTTCCGGGTTCCTTACCGAGAGAAAAAAAGAGGAGAAAAAAGGTCATCCTCCCCGCCGCTCTCCTCAGAAGAGGCCGCAGTCCTTCAGGTTGTTCTTGATGATGACGTCGGTGACGGCGTCGAAGACAAACTGCACATTCTTGGTGTCGGTGGCGCAGGTGAAGTGGGTGTAGATCTCCTTGGTGTCCTTCCTCTTGTTCAGGTCCTCAAACTGACACTGGATGTAGGCGGCGGCCTCCTCGTACGTGTTGGAGCCTGTTGAAGACGAGGAGACGTGACAGGAAACCGCTTCTCGTCACCCTCCCCAACTCGGGGGCATTTAGCTGTGAAAGGACCTTACCAGCGTATTCCGGGTAGCAGATGGTCAGAGGGCTCCTCTTGATCTTCTCCTCAAACAGGTCCTTCTTGTTGAGGAAGAGGATGATGGAGGTGTCCGTGAACCACTTGTTGTTGCAGATGCTGTCAAACAGCTTCATGCTCTCGTGCATCCGGTTCTGAGAGGGGAAGAAAAAGGAACCGGTGACGTCGGTCAACCCGAAGACAGCGGGCACGCCGTTACGTTATATCCCCCCGAGGCCGAAGCACTCACCATCTCCTCGTCCTCGGCCAGCACCAGGTCGTAGTCGCTGAGGGCCACGCAGAAGATGATGGCGGTCACGCCCTCGAAGCAGTGGATCCACTTCTTCCTCTCGGACCGCTGACCGCCGACGTCAAACATTCTGCAGGGGGGGGGCGAGCATCACATCAACACGCACAACGCACGCAGGTGTTCACGTTGTTGTGTTGTTGTTGTTGACGTGATGACAGCAAAGGAAAGGAATGTTCTAACGCAACTAGAGACGCTGCTTTTATCTGCACACGTTTATCACATCCAGGTGATGAACCAGCAAATCCAACACATATCAGCAACTCTGGCATAACAATGGCAGAAAAGTGCCCATCAAAGTGCGACGGATCGACGTCGTGCATCGAGGGGGTCATCCCTCCGATCGCCGCGCGTCCCCATAAAACTGGAGCAAACGCCGCTTCATATCCGCCGCCGCTGCTGTTGCTGCGTCACTTCCACATGCCGTTGAGCAAAGGCTTCAGTTCTGCACCACGTTGTCGCGCACCGCGACCGCGCACTCAACCTGCCGACCGACACCGCGGACGCAAATAGACCGAGCAAAGCCGGGAAACACAAGCGAGGCTTTGTGGAGAACCCAACCTGCGTTTACCTGGCGTTTTGTGGTCCAGTATCAGGAGTTTAAACGCCACCGAGCCGCCACACTTCATCAGGACTCCACTTCCTGTCGGTTATTCTCTTTTTTTACAGGAGGACCACAAGTGACTCATCGCTGACGCTCGGCCGTCACAGTTTGTGTCACAACACACAGCTGAACGCGCACAAAGGGAACTTCTACCGGCAATGAGTCAGTCGCAGGAAGGGAAACTAATTGAGGCTTTTGTGTTGAAGGAAAAAAAACAAAAAAAAAAACGAGAGTTCTCACTTGAAGTGCAGGTCCTTGAATGTGAAGTGGGTCTCCACGATGCCTGTGGTTTTGACTCGAGTCCTCAGGACGTCCTGCTGGGTCGGGATGTAGGTGGCCTGGGATATCCTGTCCAAATCGTTCAAGTAGCTGAGAGGACATGAGGAGGGCAGAGGGAAGGAGGGAAGGATGTATGTCAGAAGCAGCCGGGTCAAGCGTGTATATGAATAAACGAGTTCAGCACGTATCGGATCATGATAATTCAGGACATGGGTTTTGTAAAGTGACTTGACGTCTATGAATCGTTTCACATTCGACGGACGTCGCGCTCTGAACGAATGATAAAACCTTTGTGTGCTTTCATTTCCAGACTAATTTACCGGACTGCAGCCAGGCGTTAATGTTTAAATAGTTATACCACACATCTTCTCACAGTAGGTTCCATCCATGCGCGTCACACACAAACCGAGAACCACAGCAGATATCTCAAGGTCACCGCTGACACATTACAGGTAAGAAAGAAAGCTCCTCGTCACTGCTGCTTATCTTCTAAACTTTGAGGTGAAGAAAGAAAAACCGAAAAAAAAAAAAGGCAAATATTGACAGAGCGAAAGTCCAGACGGCTGCAGGTTCGGCGGCTTCCTGTGACTCACTAGGCCGCCGAGTCGTTGAGCTGATACTCGCGGGAGCGGCCGAAGCAGGCCTGGACGCCTCCGTCCCTCCACAGTCGCTTGATGACACCGGCCAGCTCTCCCGTCATGAAGCCTTCCTCCGCCGAGCCGGCCAGCACAAACAGCTGCCGCGCGTCGTCCTGTGAGGGGGGGGGGGGGGGTTATAAATCAACCATCAAAGACTGTCGGTATCAGCCTGCGACCAGGCTGCCGATCGAATGACTAAGTTATTAGCACACGCTTGTTTTCCAGACTCCAGACCCAACAGTCCCCCCCCCCTTTTCGGTCACTCACCGCTCTGGCGGCGTCTGCAAAGTCGATCTTGAGGCGCCCCATGGCTCTAATGATGGCGATGATGGATTGGATAGTGTTGCTGTAGACCACAGCCTTGTACTGCTTGCATTCCTCTTCTGAGTAGCCGGCCTCGTGGATGATCCTGCAGAAAGAAGAAAAACAAAACATGGTCACAAACCGCCATTTTCCAGCACGGCAAACGCACGGCGGGGGGGGAAGCTGGTCGAAACGCGGTGATTGGCGCCTGCTGTATCTCGGCTTTGTGAGAAATGTATTCATTTTCCTCCACTGCCCTTTTCTGGTCCTTTAATGCTCATTTTAGCATTCACAGAAATACTACTAAGACCACGAAGGCCCTGACCTCATTCTTTTGCAAGTTTTTTTCTAATTGAGATAAATATATATATATATATATATATATATATATATATTTGTGTTGTGAAAATAAGTAAAAAATCACCAGGTTGTATAGTTCTGTATTTTTTGTTTGTTTTGATCAACCAACCGCTCTAAAAGCCCCAACAGCTTGATTTACTAGCACTCTTTTGGTGGCAGCTTTCACTGGCTAACAACATGTAGATGAAATCCTCCAGCTGAATCGCGCCACAACGAGTACAAATCTTTCCCCTGATTCACAGACCAGAGGATTTACGACATAATCAGCGTGAGTAAATTGACATCCCTGCACTGCGGCCTGAGCGTCGCACATCAGTCACAGGTAAAAAAATAAAAAAAAACACAAGAGGGGGGGGGGGGGAAGCAATATGGAAGCCGAGCCGCTGCTCGTGGCACGCGTCTCTTTGCTGATGGAGGAGTGTATCCATGCGGGTAAATCCTACGTAGAGGCTCACGTGGACGATGTACAGGCAGAAGCTATGTGCGGTTGCCGTGGCGATGCCATTAATGCACGGTACCCCGTTTCTAATGCGACCCGCAGAGAACGATGGAACCCAGAGAGAGAGAGAGAGAGACAGGACATTGTTGGAGTTGCCAAAGGTTTGTTGTCGATCGCTCCGTGTGCAGAATAATCAGATAAAACAGAAGTGAAATGAACTCACTTCATCTGCTTGACGATTGTACTTTTCCCCGATTCACCAGCTCCTGGAGGAGACAAGAGAGAAGTTTGTTAGAGGGCGTGAATAACGGTTATTGTTGCCTGTGACAAACACAGGGGGGGGGGGGGGGTGGGGGGTTTCACGTCTTTGTCACCCTTATGTCACCGAGTTCGCTTCCTTTATCTGCCCCCACAAATGATCTAATGTGGCGAAACGTTACGCCGAGGCGGCGCGAGTACGAAACCCTGAACGGAACTGAGAAACCTTCAGCGTGACGGCGGTGGAGCGCCAAAAAAAAACAACAAAAAAAAACAGCCACGGCGCTCCGAGGGGCCCAGGGGGGGTGTGGGCAGTGGATCGCTACTGCCGCCATGGCAACGGCTCGCTTTGTGCGTCCGGGACATCGCTGGTCACCCGAGAAGGCTTCTCGGGTGTGAGCGTGCGTGTGTGTTACATGCTGTCCTCGACGGGTACAATCATGTATTATGCATGTACGCCCCCCCTCCCCACCACGTCTCTCAGAAGAGGAAGTGGAATCACTTCCCGGTGTCCACCGCCATCCGTTACCTCGTGACAGCGGACACGACGCTTGCGTAATGAATCCTCGGGGTTGATCTAGTTCCACTTTTCCTCGGCGGTCCGGAGAGAAACAAACAAAAGCCGACAGATTAAGAAACGGGGTTTTTTTTTTTTTTTTTTGACAGATGCCATTAGCGGTTCGAGTGGCTCGGCCCACTTGAGGCCGACACACTTGTTAGAAACACGGACGTTCTCCATGTCTACGGAAGGAGGCGTTTGAAGACGTCCCCTTGGAGAATGTGATTCCTTTCACCCGGTTGTCGCGGGATGTGAAGTCCTGGTGCTTCGGGGGAATCAGCGACACACACCTTTAAGGTCTGACCACCGGCCCTCAAGCAGGGTCATGTTACACCCCCTCCTCCACAAAAAAAAAAAAAAACACAACCACGGACTTCAAAACCACTGGAGCAGCTGGTTTCAGTTCCAGACTGTTCAAACTATTTCAGGAAAAATCCAAGGTTTTTTTTTTTTTTTGTGTTCTTCAGGAGAACAAAGGCCGTTTCTATTTATCGACCGGAAGAACATTTTTCCTCGGAACTTCCCTCGGTTGAGTTTCCCAGGGCAGCGAGGAAGACGCTTTGAAACAATAAAAGTGTGGACATGAATGCAACACCAATGCTAATCGCTGCCCATTGTTCTGGCTGCAGGATGCACAGGTTCGTTTATCTGAGGTCAGCTCTCATTGGCTTGGCAATGTTTTAGGGTTAGGATGTATATGGAGATCACTTCTGGGATTGGAAGCATTTAAGAGTTCATGATTTAACGGGGTGTAAAAATACATCTTCAATCTATCAATTACATCACATGTCATTTAGCAGACGCTTTTATCCAATAAGTGCATTTCAACCACAGGGATACAAGGAAGTGCAATTTCATCAAATAAGCCGATTTGCTTTAGATAAGTGGCGTTATAAGTACAATTTATGTGCTACAATTTGTTAGTCTTTTGGTCTTTAGTTTGCGGCGGAAGATGTGAAGGCGCTCTGCGGTCCTGGTGTCCTCAGAGAGCAAGGACAGCAAAGAGTCGTGATCTGTGAGGAGTCTTTTGCCCTCAGCGAGGGAGGGACGAGCAGTTTAGCAGATGCAGAGCGGGGAGTGCGGGTCGGGATGTCGGGTTTGACCGTGTCCTGGATGTGAGCTGGACCCGATCCGTTCACAGCACGGTACGCGAGCACCAATGTTTAGAACCGGATGCGGGCGGCCACCGGTAGCCAGTGAAGAGAGCGGAGGAGTGTGGGAGAATGTGGGAAGGTTAAAGACCAGTGGAGCTGCTGCATTCTGGGTGAGCTGCAGAGGAGGAATGGCGGTAGCGGGGCGACCTGCCAGGAGGGAGTCGCAGTGGTCCAGGCGGGACATGCAAGGCAGACTTTGAGGACAGCAATGAGTTCTGGCCTTCCAACCCAGAAAGGTCGAGTAACCACACGAGTCTCCTTGTCGGGCTGCGGATGGAGGACACGAGGATGCATTTGCGTGGGTCGTGACGGGGGTCAACGTCTGCACGCCGCCACCACCTTCTGAAACCCCAAAAGGCGCCGGTGTCTGGAAAAGCCGCTGAAGCCGTTTCGGTTCGAGAACTGGGTTGCAACCTAGCCGTGTGGAAGTGGAGGAGCCCCCCCCTCTCCCCCTCTCCCCCTCTCCTACCCTCCCCCTCCGGGGATGTAAGTATGAGTCACTCTTGAAGGATTCCAGGAGCCTCCGTGGGGCGCTTCCCACCAGGGGGAACGAGGGGGGGGGGGTGCATCGATCCGACAACAAGCGGATCGATGGCTAAAGGATCATTTACACACACACACACACACACGCACGCGCCATTCCATTCACACAGACGTCCGATGATGCTTAACGGCGGTATCGGAACGCCGGTGATTCGGTTACTTTGCCCGCGCGGCTTTAAGCGATAGAGAAGTAACACAGCCGCGCTGCTCCATCACTCATACGGAATTGACAAAGATTAAATAGAGAGCCGCGGCGATGTGTCGGACAAAGGCAAAGGATTATTAATAAAATCTTCCCACAGTTGCATGACGGCTATAGAAAGTGTAATTAGGTTGAGGAGATTGTAATCTATTTTAGCACGCAGATATGAATAGTAGGATAATTAGGTCCTGGAGATGATGGAGATGAAATGAGCCAATTAAAGACGAAGAACTAAATGAGAAATTTGTTCAGGTTTCAGGAAAAAAAAAAGAAAAGTGCTATCACACTTCCTCTTTCTATTGAAAGACATCAGCTCGCACACATCTGACACACACAGACACAGACACACAGATGCAAATCGTTTGCATGCAAATGCCTGAGGTTTTTCTACGTCAGCGTAGCGATTTTATGTGGGGTGACGAGCACCGTAATCACACACACATGCACACACACACACACACACACACACACGCACACCTGCACAAATGTTCCAAGTGGGGCCCTAAAAGACTCGGCTTTCTTCTCGTTGCAACACATTTCTACAAAATGTGTTTTGTTTTTCATTCATGTGTATTTGGAGATAAGGAACGCTCCGGCACAGCGGTTTTCACTTTTAATGCTGGAGTCATTAGCGGCGTTCGCATCTCGCCAGGCCCCTTTTCTCCTTCCTCCCGGGGACACAAGCCCGCCTGCGTGCGTCCCGTCAGCGGAGCCCGGGCAGCTACAAACACAAAAACACACACACACACAAAAGCTAGCAGGGGACTGTGGGAAACCCGGGTAGGCCACAACGAGCCGCTTCAGCAAAGACGCAACGCAAAGTGTGTGTGTGTGTGTGTGTGTGTCAGAGCAACAACTCTGAAATCCGCCCTGCGGCAACAGAGCAGAAACTTGACCCGACTTGCTCGCTTTCAAATCAGCCATCCCCATCTGGCCTCCGAGCACCTGAGGAATGTGGCCTACCTTCAGGGAGAAAACGTATCCGGGCGTCAGAACGAAGGTCCTTTTCGACGCGCGTCAAAAATGAATACGAATACCAACGGTAGAAACGGGCGTTTGAACCTGAGGGAACAGTGATCTCGCTCTGGCTCACTAATCGGTCCACGAAGCTGCGCCGGCAGCTCTGAACCGCCGGGCCTGGAGTCAGATGTTTGCCTGATGTTGTCTGCACAGACTTTGGTGTCCCGGTAACCCACACACACGCGATTTGTGTGCATGTCAACAGCTGCCGGCCAGCGAAGGGGTTGACGGAAAAGTTTTGCACCTCTGCTCTCTATTTACAAGGATAACAGTGTCCCCCCCCAAACGTGCAAGCAATCGACGGCAGTGGTGCAGTGAATGCTGGAAATTTTGCCTGAACAAAGTCCTTGCATTGATCATTGGGATATATATCAATTTATCAAAAATATTGCCCCTATTGGGGATTCAGAAGCACGGACATCAGGCTGCTTTTGAGGTTTGATACCAAAAAGCCAGCGAAGTAACCAGAAGCGTCACGAGGCGACTCGTTGACATCGGCATGTCCCGTCACGTCGGTTGTTTGTTTTCAGTTTAACCGGCTGCTGCGTCGGTGAGGCGTCTAAACCATCTTACCCAAACAAGGCACCAATGTATCCAAATGACATGTAATCTAACGCACCCAACGTGGCTTCTAAACAAATGACAATCAGGGGACGCTGATGGAAACGAGACCTTTGAACATCCCATAGTGATCAGGGACCACCACGGTTTTAAGTCAGGCCTTGCCCCCCCCCCCCCCAGACCCTCCAATGAGGGCCTCTTAAACGGCCCTGGACCAGAGGGAAGGAGCCATTGGTGAGTTAGTCAATGCAAACAGTAGCTAAATAGGAAAAGACTAAAATACTTAATTCAGAACACGAATTGAATATATTTGTGTATATATGGGGACGTTTGGCATGTTTCTTTCGGAGGGGGGGGGGTGCATTCACTTGACAGTTGCCTGAAGCTCGCAATGCGGAATCGAAACTCCCGGTACGGCACCGGACAACAACCGATAACCGCCCCCCCTCCCCCCCGTCCCCCCTTACCGAGCAGCAGCAGCTTGACCTCCCGGGCCGCCTTCTCCCCGTCGTCCCGCAGGTTCCGGTCGATCATCTTGCTGCGCTCCACCGCCGCCTTGTCCTCGGTGCTCAGCGTGCATCCCATCCTCGTGCGTGTGCGTGTGTGTGTGTGTCGTCCTTCGGAGCCCCAGATGGTGTGGGAAAGAATAAATCTAAAATACTACGTACACCCACATTAACATTAAATGGTCCCAACCGCCTTCGCCCCGCGCACACGCCCTTTTTTCGTTTTCTTTTTTTTCTCTGAATGACAGGCAACGGATCTGCTTTTGACTTTTCAAGAAGAAAAACAAACAAACAAAAATAAACGCCCAACCGTCGCGGCGGCGGCGTCTCTTCGGCCCGCTGCGGTGTTCGTGTGTCGGGTTAAAATCCTGCTGGCGTCCGAGGGGAAGGGCTTTTTGTAGCGGAGCGATTCACGGGCGATGCCGCCTCCTCCATTCGCTCTGCTCGTAGTGTGAGTTCAGCGCGGACTGAGCGCGCGGAGGCGCTGCGCGCGCGCCGTGAGCGGATGACATCTACTTCCGCCCGGGTCCTTCAAAATAAGACGGTGTCCTTTTTTTTTTTTACACACAACCCAAGGCCTCGAAAACACCATCTCTTTTGTCCATTGTGCAAAACTGAAAAATTTAAAATATAAAGTAGGTGAGGTATAAAATACTAACTGATATCTAGATTATATGTATGCGGAGCAATAAGAAACCACAGATACCATCGCAGCAACGCAGCCTTTCAAAGCAGCATGACTTTGAATGTGTAACTGCATTGTTGCTGATTTGAAGTCCTCCGTTGCCATTCTCCCTGTGTCCGCCCTCATTGTTTGTCACCTTATCTCCTGTCAAATTACAGGAAAATTGAAGGAGAGAAACATGTGACCAAACCAGAATACACAACAAAAATCATTTTCCAAGCCATATTTTCATTCCGACTTTTGTCGAGGATCAATGAACTGTGTAATCTGTACATTTGTGCATAATTTAACACACAGTATAGCTGTCATGTGCAGCCTGGTATTTAATAATCAATGAAACACGTTTCACTACTTCTGCAGAATTCCAAGAGTATATTACATAATGCATGCCTGTCTCATATACATGTTCAGTCAAGGATGAAGTTTGAAGTTTGATTTTTCAGTATATTTATATTTCTTAATTTATTTTGTCCCCCCCAAAAAAACAAAGCGTATTATCCTGCAGCCTTTACTTTGGAGGTAGAACCCTAAGCCGGAAACCTGCCCACGAATAGTTTCACATGTCAGATGAACACACATTTAGTATATGACCGTTCCAGTCAGATTTAGGGCAAATCAGCGGCCACTAGGTTAAAAAATACAAAATAAATGCATATTTATATTCCATTCATAAAACGGCAACATAATTTGTGTTTGATATGATTATTTAAATAATACAGATGTACAATCAAATATCAGATGAGCTGCAGAGTTACATAGACAAATATTAGTTCAGACTTAGTTTGGTGCTTTAAAGTTTGAAATATCCACACCAAAGCTACAGAAAAAAGTACTTGAAAGGGATATCTTTATTTGTAACCTAAACCCACAACTCTATAACCAGTACTCAATGTTATATTTAGCTAATATTTCATATTTAATGTTAAATTAAATATTTAATATCATACTCAAATAAAAACTCATACCATGTTCCCTTTGTTGGCCAGAAGATGTGCCTTTTCTGTGCATAAAAATCATTACTTTTTACATTTTAAGTATCAACTAGTGAGTTAAACTGAAATCTAATTTAGATATAAAATTATTATTATTCAGTATTAACATACATTTCCTCCGATCAAGTTCACCTACATTTCTAGCTTGTGCTGTTCCCACGGGAACCAAAGGGAGGTTTGTCTCCTGTCCCCTACCCGTCAGCGGCGCATGACCATTGTTTGTGGTTTAAATAATTGAGCCTGTCGGGACGGAGTCAAGTGTGAGCCCGAACGCTGGCGGTGTTCCCTCCAAAGTGCTCCGCCCAAAGCCTCGTGGCGTCAACAACCCTGCTTCTCCATGCAACTCTCATTTCGCACACGCGTGCGTGTCGTCTTCGGTGTACGCACTAATCTTTTCAAATTTAAGACAAACATGTTTGTTCGGCACACATTTAACCCGCGCAGCAGCGAGTTGTTTGGTTTTAGTCACGCGAGGGGAAATCCAACCCGAATGTTTGCGGTTGGACTTTTGAGATCAGCAATAAAGTCGATCCGGTGATATTCAAACTGTCTATTGGCAAGAGCGATTGTTTTAGCAGACAAACAAAAGACACAGGCGGGTTTTTTGGCAATGAGACTAAAAACCACGTGGACGGGCCTTCTGCTCACGTCACACGGCGTTGGGAGTGTCGGTGCTGCCCCCCAGTGGTGACCACATGCAACTACACACTGCTGCAGAGCTGCATGTGATAAATGCATGTTAAAGATGTTTTTGCAACAACAATATTATTTATAATTATAATAATACAATGAATGGATATATGGATAATAATACAACGGTAACAAAATAACTCAATATGCACAGCATTATAATGTTAAACACGAGAATCATTGTCTTGTAAAGAGGCGAGTCTGTCAAGACATGTTTCAAGACACGATTTAAAAGCCGATCGAATACCAACCAGTGATCCAAAGCTGAGACACGGTGTCCCCATTTGACCTTGACCTGGAATCGGCAACAGCTGGCCGGCCTAAACCAGCGAGCCAATCTGGGGGTTAAAACGTCACCGGTCCACCCTCACGCCCGGCAATGTAAAGCCGCGCATGAGAACACATTTACAGTTAAATCATTGGAAAAATGGTGAAACGAGTTAAGCTATTCATATATGCAAAGCCCCGCGTGTCCAAATGGATTCTACTAAAAATTGGCAGCCGGTGGCGGAGACGTGTTGGCTCTTCCTCAGAGGTCCGGCTGGAGATAAAAACGTCTCGTGACGTGCATTCTCTCACAGCGTCGCCGTCTTGTTGCGTTCACTTTCGCTGCCGACACACTTCTGTTAGGATCTAACTCGCTGGCAACAGCTCTCGCCGATGCCCATTGGAAACACTATTGATCCTCAGGGCTTTGATTTGGGATAAACTCTGCGTCAGGACTACGAAGAGGGTTTAAAGACACAACAGGAGCTGGAGCTTCAGCTGGTACTGTTGACATAACTCATCATATTTTGATGATCTGTGCCTAAAAGTGATCCTTGACACTCCACATGTCTTCTGCTGAATCTATGAGGTTAATTAAGAAAGAGAGCAATTCATTTTATAATCTCTTATGAAACCACAGATGCAGATAAGCTTCTCGTTTCTTTGAGTGCTCTCGACGAATGAGGCAACATTCATACGATCACTCTTTTCTCTCCCCTATAAAATCGGAGAAGAAAGTGGCAAAACATGAATACATAGAGGAGGAGATGAGAAACAGCAGGAATGAACAGATTGACAATACTGTCAGTGAAGGTTGTCATCGTCCAGGTCAGTGGAGCTGATATCTGTGAACTTCCACAGAAGCTTTGTGCCCCTCGTGCATGACCCATGCGTGTGAACCAAGTCCTCCTTCAACCTTTCTCCCCGGCCTATTGCAGCTGTTATCACCTGGGGGGGAGATAGTCCCTGATATCTGAGCTCGCAGATCCTCATCTGAACCTCGGACCTTCCTCGTCGTTACGTAACTTTATTCCTGGGAGGGTGGAGGGGCGGCGGCTGCTGGATGGCTCCCTTTACCTGCCCCTGCTGCTCCGTCACCTCCTCTGAAGGTACAGCTTTCCTGTGCCACCGCCGCTCTTGCTGCTGCTGCCGCTTCTGCTCCTGCTCTCTCCCCCCCACCCCCCAGCAGCAAGAACAGAAAGAAGAAGAGGCAGGCGAGGCAGGCAGACGCACACGGTGACGGAGGGAAACGCACACCACCATGGGCTGCTGTAACAGGAGGTGCGGGCTGATTGCCGGAGCCGTGATCGGGGCGGCGGTAGCCATCCTGGGTGGTGTCCTCCTCCCAGTGGGGAACAGCATCATCCGGGAGACAGTGGAGAAGGTATGTGGCTCAGTTTCACCCTAAATGGGGGGGTCTGGAGAATAGGGGAGTGACAAGTGTGTGTGAATGTGTGTTTAGTGAGTGTGTGTGTGTGTGTGTGTGTGTGCGCGCGCAGAGATCAAGGTGAATCAGGAGAAATGGAAGGCGAGGGGCGGTGTGTCTTTTGACGGTAAACAGGAAGCGGCGCATGAAATGTGTTTTGATTTTTCGAAAAGAGCAGCAAGATGACGCGGAGAGAGAACTAAAGAAGTTTGAACCTCTTTTTTCTTCCGGGAATAACAGAGCATCCATCCTTTTTTTCCTCCATCAGCGGGGGCAGCTGGCCCGCTGGCGGTCTTGAGGTCTGTCTAAAAATAGACTTGTCCGTTTGTCTTCTGGGGGTTTAGGAAGCCGTCATCGAAAACGGCACCACGGCCTACGACAACTGGGTGGCCGGGGGGGTGGTGGTGTACAGGCAGTTTTGGTTGTTCGACGTGCAAAACGCAGAGGAGGTCGTGAGGAGCGGAGCAACCCCGGTGGTGCTGGAAAAGGGGCCGTACACGTACAAGTAAGGCTGAGACCCCGACGACCTCGCTCACAACATTCCGATGCACGGCTTTAAAAATGGAAAGCACGGGGAGAAAAAGCGCCTTCTCTTCTCCCCCCGATTGCCCCCCTTCCAGGACAAGATATCTCGCCAAGGAAAACATCACGTTCAACTCCAACCTAACCGCCTCCTTCGTGCTGCCCGTGGGCGCCATCTTCGATCCATCCATGTCGGTGGGGCCGGAGGAGGACACAGTCACCTCCCTGAACCTGGCAGTGGCGGTAAGTGAGCGTCACCCCCCCCCCGCCGCGCGGCGATTTTTCCCGACTCGACTCCGCCGCTGGCGGTTCGCGGCGCCTCGGCAACCAAAGGCCACGGCGAGCCGTGCCAAATCGAGCCGTGCCAAATCGAGCCGCGCCGGCCCGGCGGAGGCTTGTGAACATCTCCGATAGTCGAGTCGGCGCCCGGGTTGTTTTTCTTTCAAATTGTTTTTTATAGCCTGGAGCTGAAAACCATCAAAAAAAACCGCGAGGATCAGAGAACACGTTTTGTGTGATGTGGAAAAGCGACACGTTTCCTCTTTTCATCCGGTTAAATTCGGGCCCCATTAAGGGTCCTCGGCCCCCAGGTTGGTCAACTGTGTTCTAAGCAGTTGTTTCACTGTTAGCGCTGTTAGCACAATGAGCTGGAGAGATACTGTTGCTTTCGACACCACCCGGGTTACCAGAATCAAGAAAGTAAAACTTCATATATAAAGTCCTTATCACAGAATAATTAAAAGTGTATGAACCTGATCAAGTGTGTGTACGGGACAGTTTTTGGTACTAAAAGTTTGATTCCCAGCTCAATGTGAGAATGTAAAATTGCTGTTGTGTCGGAGCTTTGTAAATTTCAACAACGGGGACGTCAGCATTTTAAAGTGGGACATTGTTTACCGCTGTATCCCTAGAAAACTGTAAGTAAATATGCATGATCAGTCATAAAAGAGGGATGTTTTCCGGCTTATCTCCTGAGGCGTGTGTGTGCACAGCAGCTTTGCTCTCGTATCAAGATAGAACCGCATCTTTTACAAGTGGCCCCATCAGGGATCATTTGGGAAAAACTAAATACGAGTGTATGACTTTTTTTTTTTCTTCTTTTTCTTCAGGCAGCTTACTCCCTGGTTCCAACCGAGCTTCACGGTGTGCTGGATAAACTAATAACAACGAGCAAATCCTCCTTGTTCCAGTTGCGTACAGTCAAGGAGTTGCTGTGGGGTTACAATGACCCTTTGTTCAAATCACAGCTGGGCCTGTTTTTCCCTGTGAGTAAACCGATCCTACATCTATAACATCACTGCGCTTACAAACACAATTTGCATTAATACGTTGAATCTAATGTATTTCCCTTAGTACAATGGTACCTATGAAGGCAGCTTCAATGTTTACACTGGCAAAGATGACATCTCCAAAGTGGGGATGATTGACAGGTGGCGAGGAGAGAGGTGAGTCTGAATGTGAACAAATCAAAGCAGATGTTCAGTCTGGTTTTAAGGCCTTGATCTTCTTTTAATCCGGTGCTGCATTTTGACAAGTGAGAGGCCATTTTTCTCTTTTTTTTAATTGGGATATTTTAAGCTGTTTAATCAAATCAGGTTAATACAACTGTGCAGATACTGAAGTGAAAAAAGGAAAGTAACGTAACCTGTTTAGGTCTTAAATCAAATAGCCTGTCTGACAAATTTTAATTTTGTGTCCGCAGGAGCCTTCATTTCTGGAACGACACGTACTGTGACATGATCAACGGGACAGGTGCGGCTCACTTACAACTTCCACTCCTGCATCTCCAGATGTTCACCTCTCTGACCTTCCTTTTCCTTTCTCTTCTTGCTCAGACGCTTCTTCGTTCTCTCCCTTCGTGGACAAGAAGACGCCGCTCTATTTCTTCTCATCGGACATCTGCAGGTGACGCGAAGTGTTTCATTTTCTTTTCCGAATGCAGCTTTGCTTTAAGCTTTGCTTCAGGTCGGCCAGGAAGTGTCATCGATGGGAGATTTAGCTTCTCAATTTGAGCACTGCAAACATCTGGACCTTCCTCTCAGTTACCACTAGAGGTCAGGGCTTTCCAATCCCCAAAAACCACAGGCCTGTACCAGATGAGGAGCACCATGGACTACTGGCTTCAGGATGTTCATGGAACCGACCTCCATGTTGTTCTTTTTTGCCTTCAGGTCGGTGTCAGCTAGCTTTGAGGCGAGCCACGATCTTAAAGGGATTGAAGTGTATCGCTTCGCCCTCCAGCAGAACACCCTGGACGCCCCCAACGTCAACCCGGATAACCGATGTTTCTGCAAAAACCAAAAGACCACCAGGAACTGCACGCTGGCCGGGGTCCTGGACATCAGCACCTGTCAAGACGGTCAGCTCGCGTTAGTTTGGTCGAACATAATCAAGGCGCGCCAGAAGCTTCTCGTCCCGTTCTGACCATTCTGCCCTTTTTGAAACGTCCGTTTCTTTGCCGTCTGAACAGGAAAACCCATCTTCATCTCCCTGCCTCACTTCCTCTACGGCAGTGAGTACCTGCGAGAAGACGTGAAGGGCCTCCACCCCAACAAGGAGCACCATGACACCTTCCTGGACGTGGAACCTGTAAGAACCTTTTTTTTTGTTGTCATTTTTTACATCTAGCTGCAGCGACTCTGATGCTTTTTTCTTTCGCTATTTATTCTATAGACAACTGGCTTCACCTTGAGGTTTGCCAAGAGAATTCAAGTGAATATGATGTACGGACCATCAAAAAACATCACGTAAGTTCTGCTTACCTTTTTATAGGGAATGCTTTGTGGGGAATATGTTTATTCTCTCTCTTAAATTACGCACCCAATCATCTCTGTATGGTAAACGCGAAGCTGAAGCCACAAGCTAGTTAGCGTGGCTTAGCATTAAGAACGAGGTGCAGGAGGGAACAAGCCTGACTCGGTTGACCAAATCTGTCAACCGGCTCCTTTTAGTTTTTCACAAAGTAACAAAAGCTGTATCTAGTTTGCGTAGTTCATACAAAAAAAAAGGTTTAAGAATGACACGTTGATGTTTTATGGGATTTATGTGCCAAACTTGTTTGTATGGAGCGCTAAGCTAACCGGCTAGCTAACCGGCTGTGGCTTCCTGATTACTCAGAGTTGAAGAAAGTTTGAGTCAACATGTTTGAGGCATCTTCCCGCGCCGAATAACCAAGTAATGAACTCTTTCCCTGCAGGGTGCTTCAGAAAGTCAGGGATTACACCATATTCCCTCTCCTTTGGATGAACGAGGTAAGATATGAAGCGGCGCCTTGCAGTCGTAAAGTGGAATCTGTTAGTTTTGGATGCACTGTAATCACTGACTTTCTTCCTCGTTACCAGACGGCCGCGCTGGATGACGAAACGGCGGCCATGATCAAGGGGGAGCTGTTTTCACGTATCGACATGTTGGATATATTGTGGAAAGCCCTCCTGGGCTCAGGCGTGGCCGTCTTCCTAGTGTGTTCCATCTCCTACTGTATGGTGAGGAGGAACGATAACCAAAGCAAGCTGGTGTGAGCGGATCAGCTGCCGGGGCAAAGGGCATTTAAGATGCTACGGGACATCAGACCTTTTGATATAGAGTTGCACTTTTTTGTAATTTCAGTATTATTTATAATATCAGACTTCCTTTGGTGCCAAAAGGAGAAATACTGTGATTTTGAAAAGCTCGAGAGCTTTGCTGAGAATTATTTGAATCGCTAACACTGTAACATTAATTCAATCAGGGATTGTTTGAGAGAGAGAGAGAGAATCTTAACCGGCGGGTTATTAATCCAGAGGAGAGACGGGTTTGTTTGCATCCCACAAAAGAAACGTACATGAATCTAATCTGGCATCAATGTTTCTATTCTTTGCTCAACCGGTGTCTTCAAAATGAATAAAGGCTGAAAGGTTCTCGTGTTCTAGTTCTGTTATTGAATTATTCCAAGTCGGCAACAAAACTGGTCCAGAATCCCCTCGGTCCAAACTGCAGCGGAGTGAGTCCCGCGCTGAAACAAACCCACGCATTGTTCACTCTGCAGCAGAACTACTTGATTTCCCTTTTAAATCAAAACAGTCATAAAATAGACTGGGGGGGGGGTGAATGGTACTTGGGTTTGATTGGTAAGAAAGCAGTGTTTCTCCCCAAGAGGAGGCCTCTCTTTGGTTAATGGGTTTTAAATGACCTTCTGCAGCCTCTAAAGTCGCACCATTTTATTCACTTTATTCTACTACAGGTCTGAATCTTACGTGTCACACGTATACCAAGAAATCTTGAGTGCACAGACTTTTTAAAATCCAGGACAGTTATCGTTTGAAAAGTTCTTTTGCTTTGGCGTAATATCAAACCCTGGTTAGCACTGTCGCCTCACAGCAAGAAGGTCCTGGGTTCGATTCCGCCCAGTGGCCTTTCTGTGTGGAGTCTGCATGTTCTCCCCGTGTCTGCGTGGGTTCTCTCCGGGTTCTCCGGCTTCCTCCCACAGTCCAAAGACATGCTCTGGGGATCAGGTTAATTGGTGACTCTAAATTGCCCGTACATGTGTGAGTGTGAATGGTTGTGTGTTTCTGTGTGGCCCTGCGATTGGCTGGCGACCAATCCAGGATGTACCCTGTCTATCGCCCGAAGTTGGCTGGGATGGACTCCAGCCCCCCCCGCGACCCTGTGTGCAGGATAAGCGGTTTGACAATGGATGGATGGATGGATGGGTAATATCAAACCCATGAATACCTGTGAATAAAATACATGATCTCTCTGCAATACTGAGATTCATCGGAAGAGATTTATTCAGGCTATTACGACATTAATAAATAAAAATACATGATTCATGACACTGAAGTTACACCGAGTCGAAGTTGACGCGTTTGCCGGTCGCACAGCTTTATTAAACGCAGACCACAGAGTCTTTTCTGAAAATGAAAATAATACCGTAATGTCTCTGCAATTTACAGATACAGTCATGGCTGGTGAATTATGTTGAAATTATGTACACATTTTCACAAACATCAGCATTAAATTAAAAGGATGAAACAAATAAAACATACTATGTACACAAGCAGTGATTAATCTCTATCTACATTAACCACGTCTCTGATAAAGCAATTGAATGACTATTTCTGAATTAAATACGTCCTCTATGCTGTAGACGAAAGAGTAGCGTCACGTTCCTGCACCTTGGATGAAAACTATGCTGTAAAACTACCCAAATGTAACCCAGGAAAGAATTAAGACACCTCTACATAACCGATAATCTGTGCTCCGAACAAGAGAAGTATAACACAAAATGCAGCTGAATCACAGTGAGGTGGATTCTCGAGTTGCGACTGAGTAATATGAATAAATACGGGGGGGAGTGAGTGAAATGTTTGCAGCAGATCAAGCAGCATTTGATACGCTACTCGGTATTCTGGTTGCGTGTCTGTTTGGGTAGCGTCAGGATGTCAAGCGGGGCCTCTGATCTGCATCTTTTTTTAACCTACACAGCGCTCGGATGGAACCACGGCGCGAGCCGCCGCAGACGGGGACAGAAGCAGTCGACCCGCGAGAGTCGTTTAGCCTCTTTTCCCTAAAGCCGCTTCGGTCTCTTCACTCAACAGAGACGCGTTTGTTAGTTTAAAGTAAATACAGTCTAATAATATACTAATCAGTTATAATTTGAGAAGGCGCTCACTCTAAATCGTCCCTTTTTATCGATCTCCTCTGTTCATTTTAAGTTATCGCCTCTTTTTTGATGCGAACAAAAGGAAAAGAACAAACCCACCGTGAGCTCTTTTCCCCTCAACTACATCCCCAAATAAGATCGTTGACCGCGGCTGCGTCTCAAGGTGTTTCCCCCTTACGGCAGCGTTTATTAGTGCCCCAGCGGGGGGCCACCTGGGTCGTGGGTGCCCGTGGGGAGGGGGGGGGGGTGGCGAGCTAGTGGATGTCACAGCCATCTGGTCACAGTACCTCATGCAAGAAAAAGGAGAAACAGCTCTGCAGCTTGAGATGAGAGTTGGGAAGAAAAAAAAAGGTCTGGCTTTGAGGGGGCGTTTGCCTCTAGTCTTTCGAGCCCCCCCCCCCCCCCCCCGCACCTCACACCTCCGGCAGGTGATCGCGCCGGTTGCGGCTCTTCCTCCGGTCCAGCAGGGGCTTCAGCTTGGCCAGGTCCCCCCTGAGGGGTCCCGGCGGCGGCCGAGGCGGCTGCTGTTTCTGCTGCAGGTTCTGCCGCTGCTTCCTCTCCTTGCAGTACTGCTGCACGGCCAGGCTCTCCGCCGGGCTGAAGGCCGCCAGCAGCGCCTTGGGGTGCAACGAGGCGGCCCAGGCCCACGGCGACTGCCGCTTGTCCGTCAGCGCGCTCACCATGGCGTCGCTCAGCACCAGCAGGCGGATCTTGGCGACGGTGCGCTTGAAGCTGTTCTCGGTGGTCAGGCAGTAGTAGAGGCCCTGGTCCGACAGCTGGACGGAGCGGATGAGGAGGCCGTGCTCCGTGGAGAGGACGCGGTCGCTCAGCTTCACCTGGAAAAGGGCGCGTTTTCAAGTTAGATTTGAGGTCGATTGGAATGAAGGAATGATGGACTCTGGATTTCTCATATGGACAATATTGAAAGAAGTTGGAATGGCGGAGAGAAGAGACGCTGAAGGAACCTCCTTCGACGAGAATAAACTGCCGACACGAGCTTGTTCCTTTTCCACTGAATACTTTGAAACCAGCTCCGCCTCAGTTTGGAAAAGAGTCCAATGATCACACACCACAAAACTAATTTGGTTTATTTCAAAGCGCTCGCGGCGATAAAACGTCCATCGCTCTTCCTCCACAGAGGTGAGAGCTTAATCCATAAAAGATTTTTCATGCGGACGCACTCTTCCACAGCTTTATTTAATCTTTCACAGCCTTTCGGGGGGCTAAAGGGGTGTCAAATATTTGCGAACCGCTGCGAATCCAGCCATTAGTCGAGGTCCGTATCGCGTCTGATCCGTATCAGCGCTCGTCACGATGTGAGCTCATCCGACCGCCATGACACGTTTAATATTCAATGAAATAATGTTAAACACCCGAGCAATACGAGGCCCCTTTAATGAGTTACATCTCAATGGGACCTTTCTTTCCGTCGGGGGCGGGCTGTGATGTTGACCCTTGACCTCTCCAAATGTCAGACCGACCTCTTTCCGCCTGTCGTTGTCCCTGTGAATGAGCCAGCGAATGGACGCCCGAGGGGACTTGGGAAAACACTCCAGGAAGGTGGTGTTGTTTTTCACGCCGTACTGCGTCATCTCCACTGCGTTTCTGTAGGCTGACACACACACACGCGCACACACAGACGCACACACACACACGCACACACAGAGTCAAGGGAGGCGCGTCAGACGTCACTCGCTGACAGACACAAACCCCACAGATGGACTCAAATCTGTCTCATGTCCCAACTGTGAGAGGGAAATGTTGACACATGGCTTAGTCGGACACCTGCCGCCCCCCCACCATCCACCCCCACCCACCCCCACCCACGCTTCTTCAGCTTCCACAGACTGACAAAAGTCGGTGTGTCTTCACATTTTTCCGAGAGGCTTCCGTTGTTTGCAGCTAAGCGGTTCATCGCGTGCACAACGGGGGTTGTGATTAATTAGCGGTAATGGCCGTATGGTCGGTTCCCCAAGGTCGTTTTAACCGTGAGACGTAAAGTGTTTGCGGAAATGGGAAACACCCCGGGGAGCAAACCCTCTGCTCTCATTAAAGTGCAGCCTGCCGGTACCACTGGGTGCATTTTCGTGATGGATTGTCGTGCAGCATCTGGACTCACGAATGCATCACGGAGGTTCGGCGTGAGCCACCGCGATCGGAGTCACATAAGTCGTATAATCACTGTGAGGTGTGGGGGGGGGGTTCAGCATTGAGTTGGTTTTGTTTCTGACGACAAGCCTTTGTAGCTCGTAGCATGTGGTTTGCGGTGGGATGATCAGATCTGAGACAAATGCCTCCTGCTGTGAAGTTGTGAGGGTATAATTTGTGGGACACGCGCTGTGGTCCAAATGAGCGACAGCTTTCACATAACAGCGGCCATCTGACGCTTTGTTAAAGCGAAAATGCGAATCAGTGCGGCTCCCGTTACCTTTCAGGTTGAATCCTCTGCACTGGGTGAGCGGATTTCCGTGCATTATGTCCTGCCTCCTGCTTCTCCTACAGAAGGAGAGAAACAGCAGCAGCGGGTAAAAATACACTCCAGCTAAATACAGAACACACACAACCTTCCCTCCTCAAAAGTTCGCCTCATTAAAGCTGTGGAAGGAGCCAAAACAACACGGGGAGGAATCCGGCTGTTATTCCTCTCAGCGGCGCACACTCATTTAGAACAGCTTGAGGAAGCACGTAAACAGCTGACGCATCTCACACAGGTTCTTCTGCAGGGAAAACAGGGCGTGGGGGGGGGGGGGGTTTGACCCCCCCGCGACCAAACTAAACCTGACCTGCGTCGGACTGGAATGGCAAGAGACAACGCAGACGCAGTCCTCATAGAGAGCAGAGCGGCACCGCGTTGGAGGCGAGGGGTCGCTCACACTTCCTTGTCTGTGTAATGTCTACATGGACAGGAGGGGTCAGGAGGGGTCAGGAGGGGGGCAACAACCAAAGGCTGAATTGGTGACATGCTTACACTGACGGATTCCAGTCACTGGTTCCTTTTGCACTCACAAGTGGGGGAGCAGCTCTTTTCTGTTCTAGTCTAACACAACGTGGGCCGCCGCTTGTTTCCCGGCGGCAGTCTGATTACGTCGCACGGGTCGTCGTGGCGCAGGGGCTAGAGAAGGTGTGCTGGGAAGCACAAGGTTGGTGGTTCGAGTCCAGGCTGCCCCATGTTCCATGTCGAAGTGTCCCTGAGCAAGACACCTAACCCCTAATTGCTCCCCGGGCAAAAATGTGAAAAAGCCACGGGTTTAAAGTGTAATGTAAGTCGCTTTGGATAAAAGCGTCTGCTAAATGACCTGTAATGTAATGTAATGACCACGTCGGGCTGTCTGGACGCCCGCGGGCTCCCTAGATGCTCGTGACGAACCGGGGGGGGGGGGGGAATGTGAACGCAAGTTAACCGGAACACCGGACACCGTGTTTTCTTAACACTTGCGAAAATGATGAATCGCCTTCACCGTGACCGAGCTCCCTGATCAGCACCTGTCACCGCCTATTAGGACAGAAAAGCACTCGTGTTGGGGCTTAAAGTCTTTCTCTGGACCGCCATGAGAACAAGCCGTTCGGTGGACACTCGATACCTCTCTGCAGGAAATTCAAAGAAGGTGAATTACGGCCCCAGAACCGCAGCTAGGGCCTCCGGAAGCTGTAAATCTCGGGCGTACCTCTTGCCGGTGGGGTAGAAGCGCGAGCAGCTCAGGCCGTCCCAGGCGCAGTAGGGGTCTCTGGCGAGGCAGCAGTCGGCGCAGGCCGAGCCGTAGGCGTGGCAGCGGTGCAGGGAGACCTGCGAGACCCCGAACTCGGAGCTGACGTACAGCTGTTGCTGCAGAGTAAACAGTTCAGATATCAGCCGCGCTGTTTGTCTTCATAAGTGGCCGGCCGGCAGGAGAACCAGGCAGAGCGCCGGACCAATTACGGCTTATTATTTCCCGCCCGGTGGGAGGCTCATCGAGCACAGGAGAGTCCTGTCCGGCGCTCAATGAACAACATATTAAAGCAATAAAACTGCACTTAATACATGAGGTAAGTTGCTTACCTTTTTTGAGGATATTCTTAAGTTTGTAACCGGAGCTCGGTTCTGGAAAAAAAAAAAAAAAATTGCAGACAAAAAGAAACAGTTTGAGAGCGTTTAGACACTCGGCACATTTATTTACATCTTAAATCTTAAATCTTAAAAGGAATAGTTGGGAAACAGAGAACAGCGTATTGCTTTTCATTCAACAACAAAACAGCCAGATGTGTCATTAAAAAAAAAAAGTATTCAGAGAATAAATCTCCTGTGATTGATGGAGCTCTGGGCTGCGGTGCAGGATCAAAGCCCCCCGAGGCCTTTACAACTGATCACAGGTGGATCACACTTTGGGTTATTTGAGAAGATAAAAGAGCGAGTGTGTTAGGATGTTTCCCATCATCCTACGCTGCGTTGCTCTGCAGGACATCCATCTCCTGACTGCCACCCTGTTTCTGTCTGTCTGCCTTTGTGTTGTGGCCCAGCGCCGCACCCCCCCCCGCCGCCTTTGATTTTTACGGGATAAAAGTAACGGAGCGTAACGGAAGAAAGCAGAGAAAAAGAGAGAGCTGACCTTAAACACTTCCAGCTCCTCCAGGATCAGATCTTCTTGCATAGATTGATTGCTCGGGAGCACAATCACCTTCTGGACTGTTCCTTTGTCTGGGGGGGCAGAAAGCAGAGATGTCTCGAGTTGTAACACACACACACACACACACATGCATAAAACAACCGCGTGAAACAAGAGTGAAAACGCCTGTGAAAACCCAAATGAACTGTTTTCCTTTGCTCATCTTTGCTTTTCGATTTTGCATTACAGACGTTGACAGTTTGCAGCAAAGCCGACTGCAGGGGGTCAGAATGGAAGCTCTTAAGCCCACGCAAGGGCCGCGGAAAAGGGAAGCAGTCGCAGCAACGGCTCCTCGAAGCGCCCGATAAGAGCGTCGCTCCCTCATCTCCCCCTCGTCCCCCGGGACAAAGGCAGCCTTTGCATGTGCTTCGGATGTGCTCGGGCAGCTCCGGCCTCTCCCTGAGAGTCCGCCCGATAAACACAAGCAGCTGTGAGAGAGAGAGAAAGCGTCCCGGAGCCGCTTTCTGAACGCAAACATGTGCTCAAGTGGACTCGCACGAGGACCAACGCACGCTTAATTATACACGCAGGAACACACGTGTTATTCTGTTGTTTTGTATTATTCTCAAACCCGACAGAAACGTGCCGCATCGCGCCGCCTTGACCTCTTTACAATACGTGCTGCGTCATGCCGTCTGGGTCACAGCACGACCACGGTGTACTATGCACCTCTGCTATCGGTTTTCTGCTGTTTCCAGATGTGGCAAAGCAAATCACTCTGCCAATCATTCACCTTTTAAACAGCGGATGACTTCTTCCTCATTGCTACCTCCCTGTATTTGATTGTAAATCCGTGCCCTTATAATGCAGTAATGGCTGCATAAGGATTAGAGCTATAACAATAATAATAAAATACCTTGAATTTTAGTACCTCATATTAAATGCATCGTCATATATTTTATAACTGACAATGATAATAGAAAAAGCATACATGCAAAGATAAGATGTGTTTTGGTCACAACTGTCTGAAACAGTTTGAAAGTATCATAAAATAAAACAATATTAGCTGTAATATCATTAGCAGAGTTCTAACTAATAATATTGGCACCACCATCAACCTTAAAAAAAAACGATTGATCTTTTCTTCTCCCTGGATTACAGTTCCAGTAAAGTTGACACATGTAACGAATGTTCCGAATTCGTGTGTGTGTGAGTGCATGTTCCGCAGTCTGGGACCATTCGTACCTGTGCCCAAGAAGAGCACCTGGTAGTTGCCGTCGGCGGCCATGACCTGGTCCACCGCCACCGATGTGTATTTGTAGTCGGCGTTGGTCCGTACCACCAGAGGCCTCCTCCCCACCGGGTAGATGTGGTTGAACATGACCGGGTGGTTTCGTACAAAGGTCACCACGTCGTCCGGGAACTCCTTTGTTGTGTGAATGTCGGGCGTGAAGGCTCCACCGGGACACTGGAGAATCAAAAGGTGGTGAGTTTACACGCACGCATGTCGAGATAATACAAAATACGCAAAGCCAACAGCTCCTTTGATTTCCCTACTTTTCTTTCGGGCCGGACATGTTTAAGGTTGGTTGAATATTTTATTGGAAATTAAAACAAACCCCCCAGGAATGAACTCACAGTCCCTGGCCTTGGGTAAGGGATCCGTCCTTGGAAGGCCACCCACTGGAAGTTGGGCCCCTCCCTGTGAGCGAAGGGCCCGTTGAAGACGGTGAGGATGTCGGCCATGTTGTACACACACACCGCCGAGCCTTTAAACACGGAGCTGAGGAAATGAGACGCGAGCACTTCAATGAGAAACAGCGGTGGGAACCTACCTCGACCCAAAAACCTCGAGACCCACCCGGCTAAAGTGCTCTGCACTGGTCCGTTAAGATCTCTGTTTCTGAGGGTGTGAAAGTCACGGAGCCCCGGGCGGAACAAGACGGCTCGTCCATATCCGCCTCACCGATCTGACGCGGCTTGGCCGAGTCATTTAAAACCAACACTTCACACATGAATGAGACTTCTGTGTGAATTGGAGAGCGTAGAAGCGAATAATACCGAGGTTAGAGACCTCAGGGACGCCACTGTTTGGTTTAGCTGTGTTCCTCGAATCAGGGTACTGTAACCTTTCCTTGATCCTGAGCTAACGAGTGGGTCCAGGCCCTGTGGCGGGATCAGGTGACCATCGCTTTGATTCAGCGACCCTGCTGACTGCGACTTTCCACTAGAGCCGTTGAATTGGTTTATTCAGTTCGGTTGTCTTCAATTAACATTGGGGGAACTTTTCCTTCCTAATTTATTTAATCTGACATCATGATGTTAAAGTGTTATTCATCATCATTTTAATATTTAGTATTTATTGAGGTTCAATAATTCATTTTTGATCAAGTGTCTCTAATTGGGTTGGAAATACGATATCAGAACTGTAATGCAGAGCATTTAAAACTGGGCTAATAATACATTAAAAACCATTGAGAAATGCAGGCACACATTTACCCAATTTACCCAATGGTGGAAGCACAAGCCTTGTGTTTCCGCCATTGGGTAAATGCAATAATGAAATTCTCTCTGCACCGTCTGCGTCGTATTGCTCCGTCCGGCATCGGGTATCACATGACTCTTCCTGTATCCGCGCGTACCATAAATACCCCTCTCGCGGCAAAACCATGCACGGCTGCTTACAATTTGAAGGACAAAACATCAAAACGAGGCCATATGGTGGAGCCGCCTGGACGCTGTTAACTGATAAAGCTGTTTCCTGCAACATGACGTCTACGTGCAACCGGCCGGTCGACGGGCGCATTGCCTCCCGCTGATGTCCGGTCAGCGCTTAACGTAACCGTACCTCGTTGATGTGAAGACGCCGAACACCATCAGGCCCTTGGGCTGATCGCTTTCCAGCAGAAACACATTTTCTGTGAAGGAAAGCACATGTAAGACCAATAACACCGTCCACTACTTTCCTACGTCGCGGATCGCCCCGTCGCGAGGGTCCGGAATAATAACTGCACACGTCGACAGATTGACTGGTCTGATGAGATAAATGGAAAAGCTTTTAGTGTTTGTAGTTTTCCAAAAGGTGAGGCTAAGACCTGGAATAATATGCTGCAAGGTCACCAAAAACAACAGAGCAATTGTTATGAAAGTGGATAAAAGGCCGCAGCCTGAATCCAGATCAAACAAAGGAAGTTCCCCGGATTGTTTATGGAGAAAGCAAGCGCTGGGAAACATTGGAATAAGAACTTTCAGGATTTGGGATGGTCTAGAATTTTTGGTTTCATAAACCCGTTTATGGGACTATGAAAATAAAACGGAGCATCCAATGAAGGAAATGTACAACATGTAAAAACTGCCCAGTGGGGTTCCTGTTCTTTCGTTTTATTCACCCAGTTCGTCGAAGTGAGTCTCGGTGCCGTCCTCCTCCAGTACTGAACACACCATCCTGGCCTTGAGGAAGGTGGTCCATTTGTTGACGAGGCTCCGCTGTCCTCCGATGTCGCTCTGCAGACAAAAGATGCTCATTAGACACAAAAAAACCCACCAAACACACAGCATCCACTCGTCCGGGCACAAACACGCCGAGACGCTCACCGGACACACTCTGGCCACCATGGTCTGGATATTTTTGGTATTCCCACTGTTGTCTGTCAGCCTCTCACGGAAGAAAAAATACAATTTGGCATCATTGGGGTCTGTTCCGTCTGGTATCAGGTGGGCGTCGATGAAGATTGGCTCTAAGAGGAAAGATTTATGTGTAAATCAATTCAAGTGCATGAATTCAAAATGTTCAGAGAGAGTTTGTTCTCACCACTGAGCCACTTGGAGTTGTGCTGGTCGGTGCGCACTGCATTTCTCGTGGTCAGGCTCCTGAAGATGGCTGCATCCGTCCCCATGAAGTCGATGTACATGCCTGAGAACAGCTCCTGGTCTAGAAGAAAACACGCAGCAAACCAACAGTAGTTGAATACATTTATTTCTTTGAACGATGAATATTGTTTTATGAATGGGCCTTTTTTGTGTTCCGCTGCTAATGTTATGGAAGTAAATCTGTGTCATCGGATTTTGAAAGAAAAAGGTGATTGAATTTCTAGCACTGAATGTTTATGCATTGAAATCACGTATCTGAATGTTTTTCAACGTTAAAATATTCAACTGCAAAAAATTCAACCGCAAAACATTCAATGCAAAGATTCAATGCAAAAAAATTCAATGCAAAAATTCAATGCAAAAAAATTCAATGCAAAAATTCAATGCAAAAAAATAACCTGCACGTACTGTCGGGGTTATGCGTCTGCACGCGCTCCGCTAAAGCCGCTGCCCCTCCCACTGCGCTGCAGCGGCTCCTATGCGCTCTACAGGCGCGTTCCTGGTTTCAAAACTCCGCCAATCACTCCTAATAGCTCGTCGAAGCATCCCAGCATCAGCTGTCTATTACTGAATCTTACAGGTTGTATTGGGGCGCTCGCTCCTTTTGCTTGACGCACGCTCCCGATCTTGAATCTAGAATCGATTGCTCTTCCTTGGGTTCCCGGATGTTGCGGTTGAATTTTTTGCGGTTGAATTTTTTGTGGTTGAATTTTTGCGGTTGAATTATTTGTGGTTGAATATTTTAACGTTGAAAAACATTCAGATATATGATTTCAATGCATAAATATTCAACTGCAAAAAATTCAATCACCTTTTTCTTTCAAAATCCGATGACACAGATTTACTTCCATATAATGTTTTATGCTTTGTTCCATCATTACTTGAACCGTCCATCAGCTCTGGACTACGCGGGGGAGGTGGGAGACTAATCGGGGGAGCATTAAAGGAATGTGGCCCGCGTCCAAGCTGGCTCGCTAAGGAGGCGGCGCTGACAGCACCGACGGCCACGCAGGCTGCGAAACACTCGAATGGGGGGGGGATGGGGTGAGGTGCATTTCTTGTGGAGCCCAACCGACTTCTTCCCGGGGACCTCGACCCCTTCAGGTTAATCCACCCTCCCTCCCTCCCGGCCATCTCTGAAGGATGCGGCCATGCTCGGGGGTCAGAAAGCAGAGCTGAGGGGTGCAATGCGTCGCCAACGTTCCTCGACCAACCAGAGAGTGTGGGGGGGGGGGGATTACACCCACAACACTGTCGAAAACGCAAACACCTACTGATCATGACGGAGGCTGTGTTCACTTCGGGGTTGAAGGAGCACCTCCCTTTTCCAGATTCGCTCTTGGAGTCGATGTGAAAGACTTGTTCCTGCGATGGAGAAAAGAGGCCGTCTGAGGATCGGGGGAAGAACGTTTGGTACCACAATAAAAACTAGGAGCACACCGAACGTCCCACCAGGTAGACCCGCTCACCTCTCCCTCCCTTTTGCTTCTAAGCACCGGAGCGGCCCTAACGGGGGCCCACGCGGAGCAGCGAGCGAACAACGTTCCGTTTTACAGGTTGGAATTTCCCCGCAGACGTCATGTGGAAACAGCTGCCACGTTTCTGCGCCTTGCTCGCGGCGGAGCGTGCGGCCCAAACGCCTTTTTACGGAATAACTCGGGCAATTAATAGGGCCCCCACTTCGGTGGGCTCACGGGTGGTGGTGGTGGTGGTGCTTCTCCCTTGGATGGAGTTGAAGCGACGTCAGCCGATGAGAATTTTCCAGGAAAATGTGTTTGTTCTGGTTCTGGATTTGCTCCATCTGGTAAAGCTTGTCGTTAACCTCTGCAGTGCAGAGAGTCTGATGTTGTAATGAACCTTTAGTCGGAACCTTGAATCAACCTAAAAGTTCAATTGGTTGTTCTTATATTTGTCTTTCCACAAGTGTTTTTACTTCTAGTTGTGTAACTACATTGAGTGAAGGTATCACACCCGATAAAATATTTAAAGACCAATTAGCAGAGTAATTGGGTGCTTATTCTAATTTACTACACATCTTCCATCTAGTCTGAGCAGTTCGCCTTTCAAACAAAAACCCAATGTCAAAACGCACCGCGGTGCGGAAGTGGGCCGGTTTGGCAGCAGTCGGCGGTCTGCGGTTTTCCCCTGGAGGGCGTCCTCGCTTCCACCTCCAGAGCCGCGTGGCCGGAGACGAGAGCGCGGCGCCCAGAAAACAGCCCTCCATCCGTGACACCCAAGCCCCATGTTCACCCCCCACCCCTCTTATCCTCAGCATCTACTCGAACCGACTCGGTTGCTCGTGTATGCTATTGTTAGATTCAACGGCTATCTGATCGCGGCAAAAATCCAATTTTGGGGAGAGATAAAGCGCGATGAGATTATTGTAATTTCCTTTTCACTGGTTGTCATCTACCGCACACATTTCCATTACGTTGTCTTACTGCATTAATCAATTTTAATCAACTGTATTTGGTTTTCCTGGTCTGAATAATTGGTTGAAATCTTTTCAAGTAGTTTTATTTCTCAGAAAATTATTTTTCTCTACTAGCTCTGGGTGGCAGTATTCCCACTTTAATTTGACTTAGCCGCTTAGGCCTGACACAGTAAACACTATTTGAAAGGAACCAAAGAGTTATGAAGTACTGTCGTGACGTGCACATGACTTTCACTAACTGGATTGTGTTAATGCACTTTATTGTGAAATAACTCCTCCTCGAAGGAGGCGGTGAAGTGGATCCGTCAACGCGTTCCCACCTCTGGTCTGCGGCCCCTGTTGACGTACACGCAGACGGGGCTGTACGCGCCGCTGCCACACATGAACAGGTGAGTCCGGTTATACGGCTCCACCACCCGGATGAAGTTCCCACAGCCGTGCTGCAAAGACAGCGAGACAGCAAATGTCACTCAAAATGAATTAGCATGACATGATTGCACCATTGAAACGTATTGATGTTAGAAGAAATAAAACAGTTTTCCTCATACAAAATTCACAAATTTCAATTCATAGTCAATAAAACGAAGCATTCTGCAGTTGCCGCACAGCTCAGCAGACATTAGTGTTTCTGTAATGTTATTAAACCTTAAATGATCTAACAAATAATACACTTAATACAATAATATAAATAGCGTTTGGCAGCACTCTGTCTATTTCCTGGTGTACAGCCAAGCCGAATACCAATTCCAGAGCTAGTTCATTTCTCTTGAGGTGTCCTATTCCGTGCGAGGGAGTAATTCAAACTCATCTTAACTCTTACTCTGGTTCTGCAATAATATGCTGCGCAATCAAACAGAGCGGACTGGTATTAAGGCAAGCGGAAAAAGGGCGTCAGTGGTCAGTACGCGATGTTTCCAGTGGGAGCCAAATCACGGATCCACCTCTGCCCTCACTTCCCCAACGTGCGGCGGCTAATTGAGGGCCGAGCTTGCAGGAGAAACGAGCTTGCAGAGAGGAAGGGCGGGAAGAAAGGAGCAGGGGAGGAGGGGAACGTCGCATCCAGGAGGCCGTCAGGAACTTGGCCGCGGCCGGAGGAAAGGCAGCTGCTGCAGCTCTCGGGAGCCCTCGACCCCCCCCCCCAAAAAAAGGGGATTTTCACCGTCGCACAAACACACACACACACACACACGTCACACACATCCAACTTTAATCAACCCTGGTTGGTGGAATCTTGTGCGGTCGCTCACCGGAGCACCGCTTGACCACAGATTGTATCGGGGAAGAGTAACTTAATATATACAGATGTGCAGGGTAACCTAAACAGAGAAAACGTGGCGCTCTGAATTGAACCGAAGGGACCCGTGAGAAGGAAGAGCAGGGGGGGGAACAGTAGACCCGTATATGCGAGTTGGGAAGAGGCGCCAGAAAGAGACGCGGCGCCGTGAGCGATGACAGGACGCCGCGCAAAGATGGCTCGCCCAAATATTTGTGGCAGCCTGTCTGCGGGCGAGCGGGCCGTGACTCAGTCACACTCGCTGGAGGACAACTTGTTCTTTATTTCCGCAGCGGCGCGCTGTACGAAAGCCAGGCGGCTGCCAGGGGACGGAGGGGTGGGGCAGGATGTGCTGATGCTTTCCATGGTGACTTTTAGTGCCGCTTTGAAAATGAGGGTTTTGAAACGGTGGAGAAACGGAGGCCGACCGCGCGCCTTGGTTCGGGAATCGGCCCGGGTCACGAACCCTCCTTCTCAATCGTCGCGAGCTCAAGCCCGCTGGTTTATTTTCTTTTCCACGGCGCTCTGCGGATTCCTCCCCTCGTCCCCGAGTGTCTGGGGGCCGGGCCGTGACCCCAGCGGACATCTGCTGCAAACAGGTGGTTGGACCTGGAACAAGCTCACGGGTGGGAGCGGGGGAATCCCGGGAGGTGGCATGCGCTGTGTGATAGCGGGCCGTCTTTGGGGGGTAGGGGGGGGACAGCTGACAAGACCTTGAGTCTCTATTTAGTTCATAATAGCAGAAACTTCAAAAGTGACGCTGTGCGTGTTGTCGGCTTGCAGCATCTCGATATTCCAGCTCACTGGGACGATGAAGAAACGATACTCCCCGATGGACGGGAAATATCAAAGCCACACGTATTTACTGACGTCGGCCATTGGTTGGCAGCTGTTACCAACTTCATGGGCTTCATTACTGTTTGACTTAAAACGAAAAAAGGGCCCCAAGAAATCCAAGAGGAGGGTTTTGAAATGTCGAGGGTTCTTACCGTCGGATCCTTTCCCGCCATTTGGCATTCCTCTATCTTGCTCGTAGACGCAGGCCAGAACACCTGGCGGGAAATAAACAGCACAGGCAGCCAGTCACAGGTTGGGGAGAGACAAGCCGAGGCTCCGTCGCATCCCGTTTCACGCAGACACACACATTAGCATCGTTTTGACGGACGTTTGGCGGCAGCCGCCGTCTGTGGAAAGTGTGAGAGTTTCCAAACCTGTGAGAGGTGCTCTGGGGCTCGACCAATATATCAAGCAATTTATTCGGGGAAAGATGGGTGCCGTGCAGCGCTCCCATGGGGAACCTAAATGCTTTTCCCATCTGTTTATGCACTTCACGCCTGTCAATCACACTGGAGATAACTCCTTCGCTGCCCACAGGATCAGTTATCACAGAGCACGTTTACGACTCGTTTGAATAACCCTGTAACGGTTGTGATGGAGCCAAATGTTTTGTGCTTTGCATCTCAATTGCACAGTTTAGAACAACATCTGTGCAGCTGTTTTTTTTTATGTCAGCTCATCATTTTATTTCCTAAAGAAAAGAGCCGGATTGTATTTGAACAAAAAAAGCAAACCAAATATCCTGACAGCAAGCATCTGCTGACCTTAAGTGTGCCATGGGTGATGTTGTTAATGTCCATGGAGAGGACGTGGTCTTTGCAGCCCACGTACATCCTGTCTTGGTCCTCGTCCATCTGCAGGATCCTGTAGTCCATGGCCTTCTCTGATATGCTGTAGTGTTCAAAGGCCTGGGAGGCCTGCAGGTCTTTGAGACACACAGAGACAAGATGGTTCAAGATAACAAACAAATGAGAGGAGAGAGGTTTTCTCCCACTTCGATTAAATCAAATCAATCCCACATGCTCTCAGAATGAGGAGAGCTGTCAATAAGCTCTTTAATGTCCAATCACACAAACTGATGATAATGGTGATTTGGTAATGAAACAAAAGTTTGCATTAACTTATTTGTAGTCTTAGAAGTTAAATAAGAATATAATTCAAATTAAATACTAATTGTAATGATAATACTGCTGAATAATCACCATACAGACATTTGATTAAAAGGAAAATGTCTGAGTTTGAGAAAGGCAATGACTACAGAGCACTTGTTTGGGGAAGACACAGTATGAAAAAGTTTCCTGCTCATTAAAGACGCATGTTGTTCACACACAAACAGTTATTTTCAGCCTATTTGCTCCACAAATAGAGAACTCTCAAACATACCATCAAAGGCCGTCTCCGTCGAAGCCAAACTCATGCATATTTATCACTTTTTCAATCTGTTCTGAGAGCAGGGGGGGGGGGCAACGTGGATCTGCACCCTCCATTTCCTCCCCCCCATTGACCCTCCCTCAGCTCTCTTTACACTCCCTCCTCTAATCAACAAACAGGTCGCCTGCGCTTTGCCTCCGGGCCTCGGGCTGAAGTCACATTTTCATTATTCCCCACTGTGCACGATTGAGGCCGGGGGCCTTTTTATCTGGAAGGAAAGTGGCTTTTCTGTTCCCCCCCCCCCCCACCCTGATCACAGGCCGTTGTTTGGGGCGTTTGCCTCGCAGCGACTGGAGTGTTTAACTTGAAATAAGGACGAGTTAACCTCTTCAGTCGCAGGAGAGTTTCCCACGTTTCTCTTCGCTCTCTACATCCGCCGTGTTTGCGTCGCCTTGTGCAGGAATATGCGTCCTGTAGAGCAGATGCGTGATTAATAATGAGGGACAATCGCATCAGCGTGGTGCTTTAAAGCGGAGGTGACGGAGTCTCCGATGGCATCGCATCGCCGCCGCCGCGGCGTTTTCTTCGCGCCGAAAAGGCTTAAAGCGATAAGGCGCCTCGCGCCGCCAGAGCGCCAGCGACCAAGGGTGAAGGACTCACCAGCTGCTAATTAAAAACACACAGGGCTGAGAATCCCCCCCCCCCTCACCCCCCACCAAAAAAGGGGGGGAAAAAATAAAAGAAATCCGACATCTTGGCGACACACGGCGTTGGAGGGGATTCAAGAAAACCCTTTTAGACCACAAGACAAGAAAACGCATATTTACGCGTGGAGGTAAATCTTAATTTAAACACTTTTTTCTTCTGCAGCCTACGGATGGAAAACATCATTAAACATACAGCTGTTTATAATTGATGGTCCGAGCAGGAGTTTTACAACCGTACGATAAACAGCCTGCAGCCTCAGCGCTCGACGTACCCCACCGGGTAGAAGACAAACAAGCGCTTTTTGAAATGTGTGAGATCTTGCCTTTTGTTGCAGACTCGGCAGAGAGAAGTGACATTTTGATCTGCAATATGACCCACGTGTAGGGGGACGGTACGGTCACTGTAACTGTAAACGATATTCATGTCTTTACGGTCAGTTAGATAAAACTATAACTAGCTTATGTTAGATGGCTAAAGCTTAGCTAACGGAAAAAAGGTGTTTCCACTTTTCAGTATTTTTACAAGAATATTAAGAGCTTGAAACTAGAGCTTTTTTAGCTGTAGCCACTTTTTGGCACTTATTGCTTTATTAGCAATATGCTCATATTAACAATATAATAATAAAATTTCCAGTCAATTCCATAACCAGTTGTTCATTACAATTTAAATTACATTTTTTTAAATACTATTATCTGTATAAAATATTTAAATTAATTTAAATTAAGAATAGTGGTTCATACAAATACCACCCCCCGACTCCCCCCCTCACAAAAAAGCTGTTATTAATGCTGGAAATAGTTTGAGGAGTTCCACTCTCAGTTCTTCTTTCCACATCGGAGACGAACCGACATCCCCCTGCTGACAATTGACTCAGACATCTCGTTTCACTCCCGTCTTTTTGGCTCCATTTCTGACCGCGTCCCCCCGGAACATTCCACCAGGGGAACAGATTGTTCAGAGGGGTGTGGTGCAAGGGGTGGAATAACGCCGTAATATTATGGTGACCTTTGCATTGTTTTCCCACTGGCAGGGGGGGGAATGGGATACTATACAGGCGTCACGTGGGTCCAGCTTATTCCTGGGGAGACAAACCGAAGCCCTCTGGAGAGCGACATACCGCGTGATCCCGTGTCCTCTCAGCACATGAGTCACACGCCTTCATCACTGCTGCAGCACTGAAGATCGACATCAAAAGTTCATACTGCCAGATGGTGCACCTGCTCCGCCAGGGGGGGGGGACGGCGGGGGGAAGACGGGGGGGGGGGGGGGGGGTGGGGGAGCTCTCAACAATCGTCAAGGTTTTTCAGCGTCCTTTAACGTTTGCACTGGGATGTGCTTACGGAATCGGTGCCAGCCCGTAACCTTCACATGATGTCTTTGGCTCAAACCGCCACTATAGTTAAAAGCTACTCCATCCGTGGCGTCTCGCCATGGTTTTGGGCGCCACCACCTCGCGCTTACAGTCCTGAATTGATCAAAACAACAACAAAGAAAAAACAAGTGGTGGCGCAACATTGACTTTTTGTTTTTTTGAGTCAGAGGAATGCAGTGCGTTAGTCTGGAGGTTTACACGCATTCCTCATCGTTGAGATCACACAACGTGTCAAAAGCGCTTGCGCACGTCGTTACTCAGCCAAGCGGCACGTTGACGACGACGCGTGTTGTGGACGCAGGCCGAGCAAACAGTACTCAACCCAATAATGTGTCGCTTCACCAAAAGCAATAAGGGTGGTTGATCGTTTGTGTGAAGATACAAAGCGGAGGGGACCACACACACACAAACACACACACACACACACACACACACTTGGTGGCAGGATTGAGAAAAGCCGCGGTAATGTGGGTCATGAGACGCATTATTTTGTGTTGCTCGGTCCTCACTGCGGGCGGAGAGAGAAGGAAAGTGAAAAACGAGTAAGAGTAAGCGGAGCATTTTCTATTGTGCATGTTGGCAGGTGGGCCTTACACCTCCCTGCGGACCTCACAACGGTCCCCGAGGTCCCGCTAGTCACCTTGACCCACACTGCCCCAGTGGTCGGATTGGCAGAGCAATGGCGGCAGAATCCGCCCTAATCGCTGCAATGGACGCCGGGGTCAGTACAAGGGGCAAGGTGGCGGTCGGAGAGGTCGGGGAGGTCGGACTCCCTCTCTTTGATGCAGGTTTTTGTTTGTGTGGGACGCGGTCGAGCGGAAGCGGCACAAAAGCCTTTTGCGGGGCAAAGCAGACCGCGGTCATACAACATTAAACAGCAGGTTGCTTTTCTTCGATGGAGACGAGATCCTATTAGCCGAAAGAATTTCATCCCCACATGCAAATGTAGGAAAAAGTGCAAATAGATCAATGTTTCCTGAAACGATTCAATTCAATGATTAAGTTAAAAAAAACATTCATGGGTGTATTTTACTTTCTCCTCTTTGATACAAAATACAGCAAGTTGTCATAGAATAAACCAGTAATGACTGAACTTTCATCACCCGACCTTTCTCAGTAGAGGGAGTTTGCTCAGTTGTAACTGTCGATGCCCTTAAAATTCAGATTGGATTTGTAAATATTTGGGTTCTGGACAAAAACGGTAATTTAATCAATACGGAAAGTAATCAATGATTGCATCCCAGATCAAGTCAGATCCGTAAAGATGTTATGACAGGCGATGAATAAAAATTCATCTTCATACACTCTAAAGGCGCCTTATCGGTTGTCACTACAACCACGGAGACTCACAGAGAAAAAACGTTGTGTTGAAAAGAAGGAAAAAAAATAATTGCTGCGAAAGAAATGGGCCTGTTAGTCTGTCAGCAATTAAAAGAGATCGCGGTGCTCCCTTTGCTGCATTAGAAAGATGCAGCCAAGAGAGGGAGGGCCAGAACATCGAGGAAGCTTCCTTCTTCTTTCCAACCCACAAAACTTTCTGACAGACTCGGCTATTTGATCACGCAAACAATCTCCGAGGCCAAGTCTGACAGCAGCGCCTGCAGCAGCAAACAACGCCTCCATGGTTCTGGTTTTGGGACGGCCATACAAGGAGCCGTCTGTTGTATCGCAGTGCCATCAAAATGTGAGATTCACTGTCTCCGGAAAGTATGTGGGATCTTTATCAGAGAGGCAACTGTAGTCTTTTGACCGCTCAGGACTGAGGTTTTGGGGAGTTGGTGCCAATTGCCTGGTGTCACTTTAGCTTTGGGCTCTTCTGCCGTGTTGAGGGGACAAAACACCAGCGTAAACAGTCTTGCATTGCAGGCAAATTTGTCTGGAAATGTGGTAAAAAAAAACAACTAAGTTTCACCTCATGAAATCGATCAGACTTTTTTTTGTCTGATGGAATGTGACATTATTTTGTCGGACCATTAGCTTAGTCCTTGTGAAGCAGGGACAAATTGACTGGAGTGTCAGGTATTTTTGATTAGCACCAGTGTGTGAACACAAGCCAAAAGGTCCCTGCACCCTAATTAACACTTCAGGGCCGCTCAGCGGACCAATAAGAAACCAGTCCTGGGGTCTCCCGGGCAAATGCAGCCCTCATCGGTTGGCTTTCTCCCCCCGAAAGGCCCGGGGTGAATAAATTAACTCCATGCTAATGCCGCTGGCTTTCTATTCAGTTCAAGGAGAAGCTGCTCGGTGGTTGTCAGGGGCAGCCGGTGGGAGGACCCCAATCTTGATAAATATTGAAGCAGGGGCTTATACCGCCCCGTTGCAATTCATCCGTCCCACACAAGATGGACCGCGTTTCATCGCGGAGGCCTAACTTTCGAACCTGGTGCCAAATTCCATCGCTCTTTGTCACCGACAATACCGAGGGCTCTTCTGGTTCCGTTCTGGTTGTTCTGCACTTACCTAACGCGGCGCCG